TTTCTAAAAAATGTTTATCGCATTAACTTTTTAAGAAGTATTTATTTAAGAGATTAGAACCTTATTTTTTTTATTCCACTTTTAACTTATTTTTATTTAAAATTTTCTTGAGATTTTCGCATTTATAAGTTTTACATTAACAGCTACCTTAAATAAATACATTCTGAAGGAAACATTCAAACTTGGTAATAAGAGCAAATTCTATCAAAAAAAAAATTCTTTATTTAGAATTAATTAAATATTAAAGACTTGTTAAATAATTTCGATTAGTAAAATTACTAATATAAATCCTTCATTACTTATTATAGTCAAAATATTGCAACAAAAGAATAAAATATAACATTTGTAGTTAAAAAATTATGATTTTAAGATTAGAGTACGATTAAGCAGCAATATAAATTTTATAACTTTTATGTTTCAATTAAAACTATAATAATATTTTATAATTATCCATCAACGATGACCGTATTTAAATTATAATTTAAATTTGCTAATCTATTCGACTTCCCTTAAAGCAACAAACAGTTCAAGAACTTGGAAAAACTAACTAACAAGTAACTAGGTTTCTTAAATTTATCTATCAGTGCATAAAATATGCTAAGTTATTTCATATTAATGTAAAATTTATTTCTTTTGATGTAAGTAATCTCCAGGAAAGATTTCAGAGTAGACTTCTCAAAGGCATATAACAAAATTGCAAGCTCATCTATGCTTTAACTTCTATGTACTCCATCTAATCGCTAGATTTATCTGAGAAAATAATGTAATCATATCAATTCCAATCTCATCTTTGAACTATGCACTATATATCAATATTTTAGTAAATGCTTACCCAAAATTATTTAAATTGAATTTAGGATTTTGCAAAGTAGTTGAACTTCAAATAAAATAGATATTTTCTGGAAAACTAACCTTCTGACCTCCTCCAAATTTTATAATTTGACCGAATTTATCACTAATTAATTGACAAATCCATTCCTTAATGTATATCCAATATTCAAAATTTTGAATTAGATATGATAATTTTTTATTATAAGTCTATTTTAGATTTCCTTGGTTTTTGTTAGGATTTATATTAGTTTGAAATTATACAGATTATAAAGGACATCTTGTAAAAATTGATTTGGCTTGAATTTATATCCTTAGTAAATAAACATTTTCATATGAGAAAGAGAATGGAGTCAGTTTGAGAGTATAGTAATATTTTATTAGAAGAGAATCTAGGTCAGATATACTCTTTTTATCCAATTTTAAACGATTAAGAATTGATAAATTATTTTATTAATGATATATTAAACAACGGTAACTTGTAATATTATACTATTATTTAAATCTGTTAATAAGCAAAATATTTCAAAATATATTCTTGAAAATATCTTACATTTGATTTTATGGAGAAATTGATTGAACAATATGCTTGAATATAATTAAAATAGGTATTAATTTATAATCAATCTTAAAGAAATTTGAATGAATGGGTTGGTATAATTCAGAGAGTGTTTCATTTTAAGTAATGTAATAAATTCTTCAATTTTAAAGTTTTTTCTCAAAAACTTTTCATTAGGTATGATTTGACAATCACTTCTGATTACACTTTAGATACTGCACTGCGTTTATATTTTAATTTAAGAGTTATATATTATAAAATTTGAATTAATTTAACAATTATTTTTATTACAAAACTAATATGAATAATTCTTTTCATAAATTTATTATTATTCTGGATAATATTACGAATAGAAGCAAAAAAATAATCTTAAAATTTTCATTGGCTTTCTCTAAATATATAAATATCTTTAATTTAATCAAAAGAGCATTTATTTCATAGTTCTCAATAATCTTATTACAAATAAGCATCCCCTGCTTATCTTCTCAAAATAGGATAGTTGGTAAATAAAGAAAGTTCATAATAATTATAGACCTCCTTTTAAGAAATATAGATTGACAAACCATTGGATTTGACCAATCTCTTCTTCCAGACAAAAATTGGATGATTAATATGTCGTACTTATAAGAACCCAATCATACTTTATTCAAAAAATTAATTCCAGAGTGTATTACATTGTCATATTAAAATGATATCAAAAGTCGCCAATATATATATACTAATGATAATATTTAACACATGCTTTTGAAGATCAGAACAAGGGGGATGTTTTAATAGATTTAAAAATCTAAGCTAATTCTTAGAAGATATATATTTATATAAGGAAAGAATAATAAAAGCAGAATAAAATAATTGAAAAGAAGAAACAGATGTAAATATTTAATTTTCAAGATAAATCATTGATGAATATTTAATTCAAAGAAGATATTTTAAATTATCAATGTATTTTCAAAAACGTAATAGTTGAGAAAGGGATATTCAGCAATTTTGTAAAATTTGAATAGTTTGCAATCAAGTGGGGTGTTAAAAATAAAAAAAAAATTAATTTGATTATATTTTCTTTTTAATGAGGATATCACCACTGATTTACGGGTTAAATATAGCCTTTATTTTTGTAAAAATAAATCAACTGTTATTAATAAATAACAAAATAAAAAATAGTATTTTTTGGATCTCTATTAACCCATTTTTTTTAAATATTTTATTTGATTGCAAATTATTATTTTTCTCAATCACAAAATATTTTTTTGGCTGAATCTTATTTGCAAAAATATTTTGGTATTAACAATAAAGAAGGTTATTATAATGTAATATCAACAGATTTTATTTAAGAAACGAAAATTGAGAATGAAATTCTAAAATACTGTATTTTACATTTATTTATTTTCAATAAATTACATCATCTCATAATATTAATTTTAGATGATAATTTTTATTATTATTTAAGTTTTTAATTTAATTCCATTAGTATCTTTTTGGTCCACTTACCTATGTTCTTGGATATTGGAATTTTATTTTATACAAACGATTAAATTTAACTATTAGACCAAAAAACTCTAAGCTTAAATTCAATTAATTTAAGCAATATTACTACTTAATTGTTATAAAGAAATTGTACAATTTATTAATATAATACAAATAATCTCCTGAGGTCTTAAAATAATTAAAAACTATGCTCAAAAATCTTTATTTATAAACTTAAATTCTACAGCGGTATCGAAAACAACATATGGAGCATATAGAGAATTATTTAATTCAATCTAATTCCTTAATGTCAAAATTATGCTTCAAATAATTTTTTCTAGGGGTAGAATTAAATTGTTAATGAATACCGAGATATAAGCTCGATAAAAAAAAAAAATTTTCATAATATGAAAAGAAATATTTTAAAGAAAGATGAAGGAAATCTTGAAACCAGAGAAAAATTAATAAATCTTGCAAAAGAGCCGTATGAAATAAAATATAAAGTATTTTACTATAATTAATTGCATAGTTATAGTGATTATGCAATTAGATAATTCAAATTTATATCTTACTATTGTATGTTTATAGAGATAAAATGACAACTTCTAAAAAATAACTAAACAATTTAAAAAATATTGTTTTCATTATATAAATTTAGGGACTATATATATTTATGAACTTTATTTTTAAAATCATTTTAAAATAAATGCAATTCTGTTTTAATATTAAATTCTCAAATTTTTTCTTAATTAGATTCAATAGAATGTATTGATTATTATTTTCCTCTCAACATATTCCTAATTATAATACTTTTTTTTGATCTAAAATGATATTATATATAATAATACGATAAACTTTGCAGATTGTTTAAGTATTTTTTATAATAAACTTTGAGAATATCAATAATAAATGGATAACCCAAGATTATACTGTCTAATAAGATGAATGATTGTATGATAAATGAAATATTCTATTTCTCTTATTATTCCATAATTTGTTTTACAGTTGCTAAAAATATTGCAATCAAACAAAACTGGGCACTTTAAATGTCTAATAAATTAAATTTCATAAGAATGAATGGTTTATACTTTTGAGCAATAATTTAGTAAATCAACAGACAAAGTGCTAATAATGAAGCTTTCAAAAAAATATCAGTTTCAAAATAGATTAGAATAACTATAATAAGGGTTTTCTTCCATAATTTGATAATTTCCCAAAAATAATTCTTTTGAGTATATT